ATCGTTATTCCAGCCATATAATTTAGTCTTAACCGACAATTAAACTTTTCTTCAATTATTTGATCTTTCCAGTTGGTTTATTGCAAACTTATGTTCAGTCTAAAGTTGACAGCTGACACCCAGTCCCTGGATTTATGCACTTGATTCATTCACTCTAGCTGTTAAATGCACAGCAGTTCATCTCATCCACACACAGCTGAAGTGTAATTCCCAACATATCATAAGAATTCACCTGGATCTGAGAGCACATCTGTCTATGCAGTGTAACCAGGAAGCAAAGATTGGATTTAGGATTGAATTAAAGGCTTTCGTAGCGCATATTAAAACGTGGGGATTTTAACTTTAAATGACTGTTTTGACTGATTTTGACTGATTTGTGTTTATTAGGACTTATATGGTGTGCCGTTAGTAAAAAGTAGACCAGATCAGTGTCAACTGAAGCTCCTATTCAAGCTGTAAATCAGTAGAAAAATAGAAAAAAGACAAAAATCTGAAAGACACAGATTATCAACACTGTTAGTGATTACAACCGCTGAAAAAAACTACCCCTTGTAATGGATTGATTTCTTTATGTTTGGTTGGAAGAATAATCTTTGTTGGACATTAATGATGACGCAGCCTAAAATGCCATGTACAAACCTAATATTTTCATATTGAGTTGAAATGTTTTGCTAAAAAAAGTTTTAGGCCTCAAAAATCGTTTCTAAAAACGCTACTCTCAGCTGATTTAAATGTTAATTCAGAGATAAACCCAACATAAAGCTAAAGTCTTTCAGGTCTGATTGTCACATGTAACACGAAAAAAACTCCAGTTTCTTTGCTTCCTGGATGAGACACGAGAATCACAGGCACGTGAATGTTTTTTTTCCTGTGAGGAGCTTTTCCCGTTTTTTTTTCTTTCCACTTTGCCACTCATGGATGACTGTTGTATGCCACAAAATGATAAGAGTCCTGGAGCTTTTGTGGCTCTTCGCCGATTGAAACACTTTACCACATATGCTTTGTGCAAAGGTAGGTCAGACGGATGGACAAAAGATGCGGAGGACTACTGTGCGGCACCGCGGGCCTGCAAATGAGTATAGCAAAGGAAATGAGCCTTTCGAAGAAAGAAAATCACGGTGACTTCCAGCATTTAGAGAGGTTTACCAATATCGTACAGCTTGACATGAAGCAATCAACAGCTGCTGGGGTTGCCAAGCCGAGTTTGTTTGAGTAGTTTTCCCAACTCTGGGAAAATGTACCAAGAAACACCAGAAGCAAAAGTCTGTTGGAGTAAGTGCTAATTAAAGAATTAGAGGGAGCAGTAGCAGAAATAAATATGAGCAATGTGCAAAAAAGAATACTTCAACAGCTGTGAGTCTCAGAATGATGGTGTTTAATGTAAATTGTGGAAACTTTTGAATATTTGATCGTCTACGGCACAAAATATGATGATAAGATTGAGAGAATCTGACGAGCTGTGTGCACAAAAAGCGAAGCGCTGTGTCTGTGATCTTTGGGTCCTTGGGCAGCCCTGTTTTAAAAAAAAAAAAAGAAAAGAAAAAAGGCACAACTCTGCCCAGGAAATCACTGCGTGGGCTCGGAATGACACAGTTCCATGTGCTATCCGCAAACGCAGATTAAAGCTCGATCATGCAAATGATAGGCCATGTGTGAACTTTGTAAAAAAGAAAGCTGCCTTCCTTAGCCAAAGTTATATTAAAATGGCCCAAAGCAAAGTGGAAAACTGTTTTAGAGCCACGTGTATCAATACTTGGAATAATTTTTGACTCGCATATTGAAGATTAAAGAGCAGAGGGGCCATTCAGGTTGTCAGGAGCCCACAATTCAAAAGCATCTCAGATGGTAGGTGTCATTAGGAGTTAATGCACGGATGATGGCAAACACGACTCATGCCAACGCCACGTTGGTGCTATTAAATTTCAAATTGGCTGATCATTCTAAAAAACAGAAAAATTCAATTGTGGAAAAATGACTATTGTTTTCTAGTGCTTCAGTCTTTGCTGTTAGCTTGGCTAAACAAGTATACACATCTGTGCCGAACACATAGATGCGGTGACTAATAAATACTCCATGTTTTACCCTTCTTTTATACTGACTGTGCAATATTAAAGACAGTGGGTGGTGCTGGGAGGGTGAGAAAGACATGCTCAAGAAGCAGTTGGGAAGATCCTGGCCTACATTTTTCTTCCAAGTGGAGCAGTGTGCCAGCTGCATTCACACACATACACGCGCACACACGCACAAAGCATAAAATATTCCACATCTTCTTATACATGCATGCTGTCACAAATCCATTTGCCATCATGTGGATCTTGTAAAACTCCTGTAGGGCAGAACTGTTTCAGGACCACTGAAGTCAACGGATCTTAACCCGGACAGTCGTAACGCTGAAATTGGGCAGACTGTCAGCAAGACCAATTCAATTTCAATTACTTTACTCTAACACCATAAACCAGCAGTTTGATTTGTTTGATATGTCAGCTTTACACACTTTTTCTTTCAGTCATGTACACATGGTACAAACTCAAACTGACTCATGGATGAGCGAAGATGCGAGTTCCATAACACCCCATCAGTCATAACAGCTTAGGTTTTTCTTGGTTTTTAGAAAATCATCATGTCCTGACACCATCAGAGATATATCAGACTTTTAAAATGTATTGTTTTCACTAAAGGTAATGAGGTAACTCAAAACAACTAATTACACAATCTACAGAGTTATTAATTTATTAATTAATTTATTATTATTAATGGTTTTTTGTTGAGTTCTTGAGAGTTCCAAGAAAGATCCTGATACAAATTCATGGAGCCCGGGGACTTTTTTGTGTGGAGTTTGCATTTCCTCGCCGTTTTTGCATATGTTTTCTCCAGGTGGTTTAAGGTGGCTTTGATTAACCACCTTAAAAAGTTAAACGACTACTTTAATGTAGTAATGGATGTTGCTTTTCTTTTTGTCTTCTCTTGACCAAGCAGAAACGAGAGATACATTAATATTGCACATTTATCAAATCTACACCAGGTCGACATGCAGTTTTCTGCTGCTTGACCTGAGAAAAAAAAAATGCTGTAAGTGCTTGTAAGCGAAGGAATGCTGAGGATTTCAGACATCCCACTGCAATAATTGGTTTTGCAGCCCTGGGATGTTGCAGCCCGTCTGATTGAATTCAATAACTACAGGAGCTTTAATTGAAGATCAGCCAGTGGAATGTGGAGGTGGAAAATGTAAAAAAAAAAAAAAAAAAAAAAAAAAGAAAGATTGATTTCACTGTTTGCATGGTTCTGAAATATGCCAAATATGAAGTTGGGAATATTCAGAAGAATGTGACCTAGGTTTGTACAGGTACATGTATTTGAGGGTCAACATCATGCGCTTATATAATGTAATTATGTCTCCAAAAGCAAATTAAGCCCAAACCCTATTCTTAACCCATAATGTATTTTCACATAGAATAATTACAGTATTATCATCTATAAAATGTATAACCAAAGAGAACTTGAAGAGATGAAAATATGTGCCAAGCACCTTAATAAAAGTTTAATTTTTGGTGTAAATTAGGTTGTTTTAGAATCAAACGTGTCTGATGCTGTTTCCTGCGGGTATTTTTCTGTTGGCAAACATGAGTGACAGAAACAGGTCACGAACAGCATGTGGCAAAATAAAAATAAGGAATGTGAGGATGCCACTTCTCTCAGTTGTCCTTACCTTGTCCTAACCCTTCAGGAAAAAAAGTGCAGCCAGTTCCAGAGAAATTATTCTCTGTGCTTGTTCCACACAGCATATTGAAGTGAAATATTTATTCAGATGAAATGTTAGGAAAAGGAAGGTTTCTAACCAAGAAGCTAGAAAGAAAATAACATTCTACTATTCACGTCAGAAAACATGTTGCTTAAGTGATGCTGTTTTTTTACGCATTAAGATAAGAATTTCAAGGGACCAAAAATAAAACAATTCGATGGACGTTTGAGTGAATTCACTGCAATAGGCCATCGATCACCGGGCAACAGGACGGCCATCAAAAAATAGACAAACAACCCCATTACTGTTTTGTTATATGTGAAAGTTTTAATAGTTGTTCCAAAGATCCAGTTTGTCCTTCCTTTGTGTTGAAGCATTTCTCGCCACAGACAATTTCCTGACCGATGAATACTGAGAAGTGTCTTTGAAGCTAAATGCCAGCTCAGCCAGCACAATAAGGAGCCTGAAAGTGGGTCAGTGTCTGCAGCCCATCTCAAACATGTGCACTGGCTGCGACGGGTTTGTCCTTAGCCTCGACACAAATGCCCACTATTATTAATCACCAACCTTTTCAGGGAAGCTTTGGAGGCGTCACCCCTCCCACACCGACAAAACATGAAGACGTGTTTAAAGGAGCTGCGACTCTGTTGCAGAATAAAGACAGCTGAGAAAAGAGGATGAAAAAAGTAGAAGAGATTTTTAAAACACAAATGGCTTTATTGTTGTCTTCTGGGCATCAAACTCAGTCGTGGAATCTATTCTCGGTAATTCATTTATTGTAAAAAAATAAATAAAAAAAAACGAAGACTGAACAGAAGCATGAAGTCAGCATCACATGTACGATGCATCAGGCTGTACTCATCAACGCACAGTTCTGCCCACGTTCTAAGATAATGAGGGCATTGACACTGCAGTGGCACACATGCTGAGGATCATTACCCAAATACCAAACATTTGCTTCTCTGAACTGCATCGGCATCCGCCAATATTCTGCTCTGGTTGATCAAAACCATGCAAGAAGGAGCTTTAGTTGCTTTACTTTCATTTGTACCCATCCTTCTTATAATTGCTGGTGTTGGATAAGTTCTAAGTTCTCCAAGGTTTTCATCCAAAAATCCCTTCAGGTACCCCTTGGCCAGCAGGGGGGAAGAGCATGATGGGAGTCAGTGACTTATTTATAAAAATTCCAGCCCACTCTCTGAACCGTTCTAAACTACATTGTAGGTATCCTCTCTGAGTGCTTTAATCAGCGGTCCAAAGCTTAGTCGTCCGGTATGGGGGAGTTGCAGTTGCCGTGGTAGATGTGGACGGCCCCTTCGCAGCGATAGTACAACTGGAAAACATCCCCGTAGCCGTGGTCCCTCCACCAGGTGCACAGCTGCCGGTTCCAGCCGCACGCCAGGGCGTAGAACAGCTCCGGGTGCTCCATGCCGATCATGGTGAAGAAGTCCTGGTCGCCCAGGTGGCCCCTGAAGCGATAGTGCTGCGTGAGTTTGTCCACGCTGCTGGGCTTCAGCAGCTGGTTGTAGAGGGTGGAGGCTCTCATGGCGCTCAGGTCCAGTAACATCACGCCACTGTTGAAGCCCGGGAGGCCGTCAGGGGGAGGCTCTCCCACTCTGGTGTGAGGGTTCTCCTTACGATACTGCCAAAAGGTGTGTCTGGAGGGGGGGAAAAGAGGTTTGGGTTGTGGGTTATTTCTCAACTATGATGGTCACTGTATATAATACACATATAACACCTTTTCAGAGATCAGAGCTGGCAGATATTTGACCAAACCCACACAAGCAAGCGAGGAAAATCCACAAATGTTTCACATGTACATGTGGGCATACAGTCGGCTGACTGTTAAGTCCCCAAAATTCCAAATATATTATCAAATGGAGCCTGCTTCTCTTATTTTCTGTAATTGCTCCCAATTATTAAGCATCACTTTAGTTTTGGATTTGACCTGGTAATATAAAAGCCCCTTTGTGGTTCATTAGCAGGCAGTCACAACTGAAAAGTGATATCAAACTGAACATGCATGTGCTGTTATAGTCTGAGGACTTAATAATTCATGCCACCCGGCTGTCACCGACTTGGCTCCACAACACCTTGTTTAGCAAATGCGAACAAATCCGAAAAGTAGCCACTACATCACTGAGAAATAAATCTGAAGAGCTTAACTTTGGGTCAACGGCATATCTACACTGCCTGTCACAGCCTTGTTCGGTTGTTGTTCCGCGTGCGTCTGGGGCTATGGGTTCAGTAAAGCGAGGGGTTTCTGTGCCTCAGTCCACATTTGCTGAGCAAACAGCACTGTGGCCAAACACAGGAAGAGCATGGGTCCAGCAGAGACGGGGCTGGTTGGAGAGCGAGAGGCTTGTGCCAACTCAGCATGCTGCGCTGCCAACAGGCCGAACCTGAAGTCGTTAGGGTGGCTGCTGTATCAAAACATATTTTTCTGGCTTGTTCCCGTCTCCTTGGCTCTGGAAGTTTGACATCGACACTGCGAGCGCTGTCGGCAGCGGTTTGAGGCATGGAAGAAAAACACATCGTTTTCCAATCTGCACACCCGATAAGCTCCAAACGACTTTGAGAAAGTACCAGTGATAATACTGTGGCTTATGGGGCTGATGGGCTGTGAGCAGGACTGGGTGCAAGCGGACACCGTCAAACGGAGGGGTTCCACTCTTCAGCGTGGCCTGGCTCAACTCTTCTCGTTTTTTGTTTTTTTTGCGATTCCATGAGGGGCCTGGTGCCTGGAACAGTTCCAGTTTCAGCACCTCCTTGGCAGGGGGACACTGTGTCCTGATTCGGGCCGACGACGGACTCTTAGCTGCTGATTGGACAGGGCGTCACGTGACTGGATAAACGACTCCCTGACAGGAACTCCGATTATTTTAAATAAAGCGACAACAAAACATCCGATTTCATGCTGTAAATGCCCAAAACACCAACCTTCTGGTAAGACCGCATTTGTAATTAAAACCATGCGAACTGAGTGGGACCGAGTAGAGCTGACTAGGAATGTATGGAAAACCAGGAAAGCAACTGGAAAACAAACAGATAGCAGTTTTTGTAAGAGAGCTGCTGACTGAGTGTCAAAAAACACAGCATCTATATTCATTCATGAGCTTCTACTGACCCTCAAGGAGCGGCTGGACCTCCTGACCTCCTCTGATGAATGCTGCTCATGTCTGAGTCCTGGCTCAAATGAGCCAAAATAAAGCCAAACATTCTGTAAGGAGAACCAGCTCGCTTGCTTATCCTGCATTTATTTGAAAAGTGCTGGACTGCAAAGAGACTGCTTAATGGCATTACCAGAAAATGTCAAAGATCTGAGTAAAATGAGACAGATGTTGAGCCGGACGGACAGATGTGTCTGAAAGGGATGCTTGGGAAACAACGTGACCCAGGGTCAAGTTTACATCTGCCGTGTTCATGGTGTTTGTGTTTTGGGTGCTTTAAAGCTCCAGTGAATCTACAGAGTCAGTCACTTCCAGTCCTGATGGTGCTCCTTTTTTCTTTTTTCTTCTTTTTTTATGGGAATGGAGAAGCTTTCAATGGAGAGAGTACAGAACGCTCTTGTCCACACGCTAGGCGGACGCCGTAAAGTTGTTCCATTGCCTCTGAACTCGCCTGCCTGGATGCGCGAGCTCACGTACACACAAGCAATATAATTGAGACTATTCTTAGTCCAGGTCCAACTGGATAAAAACCTACTGCAGATCAAATATTAATGGGCCAAAGTGGCAAAACAACACAGGCTGAGCTTTTTCAAGGGAATTGATTTGCGTCACAATAAATAAATAAGTACAAAAATCACCTCAATCTGTACACTGTTGACCTCTTTGGTTGCCGACTGTGCATGTTGTTTAGAATGAACACACTTTGTTTAGGATGCTTTCCTGCTCTTTTTCCGTGCGGTCTGTCCACATCTAGCAGAAGGAGCAGATTCTCTGAATCACGCCTTGTTATTATTACTGACCCACATATTGAGCAGCTGTGGCCTGTCCCCACAGTTTTCAGACAGTCTGTTGGGCTGGCAGCTGGGGACTTGTGGCCCTTGTGGAGCATTTGTCATCATGAAGACGGGCCTACGTGCCCCGCGATGCGTCCGGGGTGAAGGGAGGTCAATTAGGGAACATTTACAATGACTTTTCCATGATGCTGTTTTCAACTAAGGAATTTACAGTGTGCAGGAGATTTAATGCACTTCTGTCTCATGATGGCCACAGTACATGACCGACGACAGTTTTAACTGTGTGCCAACATTATGCCCTATTTCAAACTATTTATGGTCCCTTGAGGGGACTCAGTTCTGAGTTATGGAGAACATAACGGGTTATTTTTTTAACTTTGGACTAAAGCTGGTAAATTAACATGAAGCGTAGGATGTTTGGATATTTACTGGGAAACACTTTTGAAAACCTTCCACAGGTTAGTTAAAAGAGGAGGGTTTTCTAGTCATTTTTCATCTCTGAAATTCTAAGCTTTGGCACGTGCTTACCACACATCTGGATTTGGAAAAGACATCTATACTGGAAAAGACTTTGATACAAGTAGTAATTCATAGAGACCGATTCTTTTTTCTTACACGGGTCAACAGCATTCATTTCCTGCTTTGTATATCTTAAAGGTTTGGCTGATTTGTTTGTTTACTTTTAGAGTCTTAAATTTGATCTTCCCCTGGATTACCTGCATTATTTCCTGTGTCTCTGATGGTTTTAGGTCTTTCCCATATCCCCTGTGACCTTATCTATCGATTATTTAAAACAGAACAGGATAAAGTGCAACAGCAATCATATCTTAGTATTTCTAGACATATTCCAAATTTTTTATGATTATGTGTAACAATAATGTGACATGGAATTCCGAAAATAAAATGTGTTCTCTTACTCTAACTTATACTTGAATCAAAATTAATGTAAAATAAACTGGGCGGAAGCAGTTTTTCGACATATTCTTACATTCATAACACCAGGACCTATTTACATCCGGGCAGGCTTGATGGAGTACAACATGGATTTATAATTAGGCAAAACATCTGATTACTACATCAAAGACAGGATGTTCTCGTCCTTGTCTTTGTCACATTTTCAGAACGCTGAACCGGATCCCAAATCACAAATATAACCCTCTAACTTCGATTGCCAGTTCACACCTCCATCTTCTTCTACTTCCCCTTTTTGTGCCAAGTCTCCAAGTCAAGTGTCTCTCTGACTCGTGAGAGAATGAAAAGCATTAGCCGTTAACAAGAACATTCTGTGCCGCCGAATTTGTCCTTAGATTTGTTCAGGACAAGAAACAGCCTTCTCTCTAAAAGCCGGGTGAGACACTCTCACTGTCAGAGGGAAGCGTGATCGTGGGGTACATAAATGAAATGTCTGGTCCTTTTCATCAGCGAGTGGCCTTGCTGCACAAACAAAAGAAGATTCCAGCACTGGTGGGAAAAAAGAGCCTTAACACAACAATGCATTAGCTGCTGCTGCAGGGGGGGGGGGGTGTAAAAATTACTGTTCACTAAATTCTTTTGAGTCCCTGCTTATAAAAACAGTAAAACAGTTTTTTTTTACTTGCATCTGACAGTGTCAAGGTTAAAATAATTAATCAAGTTTTCTCTCTAAGCTAAAATGCCTAAATTTGACCAGAATATGAAAGTTATCAAGTTAGCATGTAATATGGCTGCCATATTACATGCTATATATATGGCATGTAATATAAAATATTTCATCAAACATTCACCTTTTGATACACCGAAGCTACGTGGGACATAACCTTTAAAATTCAGGACTTCCTTCTGGCTCATTGTATGGCAAAACCTTCCTGACAGAGACACAATATCTCAATGGGATCTTCCTGGCTGAATAAAAACTGTGCCTGAAGCGTGGTGGTTGTGTTACTCGTGTAAATAGGTCAAAGAAAGAAGACAAAAAAAACAAAGCAAACCCCCAAAAAAACAGCTGCATGGAGGAGATGTGGCAGATTTTTTTGTTCAATAATGAACTTTTCAGTGGCAGGATGTGGCGTGAATGTGGCTGGTGGGAGGATGCTTTCTCCTGCATAATGTTCTGTCCATTAGCAGCAAAACAGAGTGGGAGCTGAGAGCCCGCTTTGTTCGGCACAGGAAACACTCTGGGAAAGAGGATGCACACAATTTTTACCAATGAAAATATCACAAGGGTACATGTCCAACACCGCGTCTTACAGGGACTGCAGATATTAAATTAAATCCTGCTTCATTTTGAGGAGAAAACCCATAATTATTTGACTTTAAGGCACACATTACATTGAGACCTGCAATAACTGAGATTTTCGGTGATATTCATTTTACTGGCGTCCACGTTAAAGCTATTTGTCAACATCAATATTTTTTAAAGCCTCAGTGACGTAAACCTGCACCTTCCATTCAGACTTTTTCAATTTCCTCTCAAGCAGACAGGAAAAATAGTTTGCTGGTATGTGAAACGGGATTCAAAACGCATGCCTATGAAGTGAGTTACCCCTCAAGCGGGCGTCTCTGAGATAATGGACACAAAAACCAACAAGTTATCAAACACTGAGGCTGTGCGGGCCAAGAGGCACGATCTCCTGCTACGCTGATGTCTGCTTTGAACTGAGTGTGTCCGGGCTGGCAGGAACAGCATTAGCAGGGGTTTCCCAGCGTTGGCAAACCACAGGGCCGGTAGAGTGGCGGGACAGAGATAGAGATCTGTTTGGAGATGCTGGAGCCAGCTGGAGCCAACTGGAGCCAACTGGAGCCTGGCAGGAAAACTGCAACTCCACTTCCACAACACTGTGACACTAAAAACGCTCATGCAATTACACATGTGATGGACAGAATACATTTTTTTTATTTAGAAGAAATAAACTCTTTCACAGATTCTAAACTAGGCCAAAGATGAGAATGTGCATGTAGTTTAGGGTCAACTGGTCAAATTAGTAAGAATCCTTACATCTCAAACACCGTCCCCAGAGTTTTTTTTAAATGAGCTGGTAAATAATGAACAGTAAATATACTTTAAATAAATATCAATTAGTGTTAAGAGAGAAATCTGCAAGCCTCTATCTTTTTTCCTAAAACCAAACCAACTGGTTTAGATTCATTAAGAAAAGTCATACCGGGCCCAGAGGAAGCCACCTGCCTCTGTTTGTACCAGTGAGCAGCTGCTGTGGGACATATCCCACCTGACCTGGCCTCATGCAATCCTTCCAGCGCACACAAACATGCGCGCGGTGACGTCCTGTTTTGATGTCGCGCCTGGGTGGAAAACAGTGAAGTAGTCTAAACCGACCAGCCGTGTTTGTTTTACTGTCTTGGAGGGGGGGATGGAAAAAATCAGCCGAGGAACAAAGAGCTTGAAAGTCGGTGCCCCTTGTGTACGTATGCGCATACACACACACACAAATACACACAAAACTGAATCACACTCTCTGCACAAGCACGACTATTAACTGTCTAAACTTAAAGCAAATCTGCACATCAGTATATAATGCATGGTTTGGAATCTTGATCTGCTCAAAAGTCACATGGAAAAGGAGATAATGATCAATATGAAAATCTGGTGTGAGCTCACTTCCAGAGGGGTCTCAGTCAACAAAACAAAACAAAAACATCTTTGTACTACGCCAACAACAGCAAGAGTTCATCTCAGCTGTACAAAAATTCGTTTTCAAAAATATTCTGCTCATGTGTTTGACTGAGAGTTTCTATAAGTACTCAATGAGTTGAGCAATTTCAGGGTGGAACGTTTAGGGTTGCGTTTCTGGTTCCTGCTGAGCGGATTTCTAAACTGAACAATGCCTATAGGTGCCTGCTTTTAGTTTAATAGCGTTATTTACTTAGTGGTTTTCATAAGGTGTCTGGGGTAGATAGCAGGTCTTGATTTAGCCTGAGCAGAAAAACAGATCCACCCTGAGTGGACACGTGAAGGCAAAAGCAACCTAAGTGAAAGAGGAGGGTCTGCCGGGCCTTCACGTCAATGCCTCACATGTAGTGACTGACTGGCTCAGTGTCAGCTGACAATCACAGACAGCTCAGAGGAAGTTGCGATGCTCTGTTTACCTGTAGACCGGCTGCATCTCTCTGGCGATGCCAATCACTGCTCCTGGAGGAAACCTGTCGAATTCCTGAAAAAGGTCCCTGATGTTGGTTCTGTACTTTAGGTCCAAGTCCAGCTGCACTATACGGGTCAGGCCTGAAAGAGAAAAACAAGACCCGGATGATGACAAAGAGGCCAAACATTAAATAGAAATGGGACAAGATCACCCGATAACGTGAGAAAATAGCATGATGTGATCTCAACCACCTGTTCAAAACTGTAAAGCTGGCAGCATAACAAAGAACAAACTGTCCCGTGTGAATGCGTGATCACTACTCTTTCAACCCGGTGTGATCATTGATGAAAATTAGATCTCCGTTTTTAAAATATTCTCAAAGTAATGCACTTCTCAGTCGACTGTGCAAAATTTAATTTCGGGAAAAATGTTGTCATTACGGTCACTTCAAAGAGTCCTTCCGGGAATACAGTGTGAAGACTTAAGAGCGGCACCATAACCCTCTTAAACAGACTAACTATTTCCTTCCTGTACTATTACCGTTACCACAGACACAATGTAGTTAAAAAGATGAATAAATCACAGAAGCTGACTGAAAAAACGACGGAAGACTTAGAACTGCATTTTACTGTTTGTGCAAAAATTCATAACAGCTGTAACCAGGATATTCAGACCCTCGTCTGTTCATTGTTTCAGCTTCCTATATTTTGCTAGTAGCTATGGTGATGACGGGAAAGGAAATAGTCAGGTCTGGTGCACCGTGGGCACAGCGTAACCACAATGGAGGATGCACCGTCAGGGATGACAGCCTCTAATTTGTGGACAGATAATACTGATTGGCTGGAGCAGCCATTGCCGATTTAGTAAAAACAACCTGCGGCCTTTGTTCAGTTGTCATCCTATTAGCAAGATAAGATGCTTTGGAGGCTTAATTGAATGATTCCGATGTGTTTTCAGTTCATCATAATTCTAATTAAGATCCCACATGCACTGCACCTCTGCAGATTCTCTGAAAACTTCTGTCTGAGTTTCAAGCAATATCCATCAGGGGTTTCCTTGTAATCACATTTTAATGACAACAGGAAATCTCACTATTACTGGCCGGTCTGTATTACACAACAGCATATTGAAAAAAAACACAAACTTAATTTTGCCATGTAAATGTAACAATAACTGAATCAAAGTGGTAGCATACAGCTGTTCTAGGAAGGCTTTAAATTCTCATCACCGAAATGAATGTTTTTGCAAACTGGAGCCGCCCGTTTACTTGAGCTGTTTATTTTCTGAGGGAGAATGACTACGCAGCTTAAACAGGGGCGAAAGTAGAACTTATTTTGGATTTTCTTAAATCGACAGGTCAAATGAAATATGTATGGGTTTAAATTCAAATACGTGGTCTGGTTTTATTCTGGAAAGGGATAACTTCAAGGATAGGTCGGTTTCCTTGTCACTTACTAGATAAAACATACAGAATTGGAAAACAGAAAAAGGCTAATTCTAAAAGCTGTTTGATCTAATTGAAGACTGTACTGAAATATTGATGATCTTATATAATTTCACAATGAGTTAGAAAAATTAGTCTAAGTTGAACACTGTTATTTTTTTATCATTCGTCCATCCAAAACGCATTTAGGCCAAACTCACTGAGGTCAATGACTTCACAGCTTTGGGCACAAAAATGACGTGATTTAAACAGTGGAGTCTCTGAAATGCAAAGCAAAGGATCCCCGTGTGGCTGCAGGAAGATCCTGACGGGGCCAGACGTATTCGCTAAAACATCCAAACGAGGGACCGAAAAAAGACGACTCAGCAATGTATCTGCGGCCTGTTTTCGGTGCTCTCCAAACAAGGAAACTGCTCGTGACAATGCCGTCATGTACTGTGGCAACACAAAGGGGTAATCTCTGCAGGGCCAGCGCTGTTTGTTTGCACTAACGGGGCTTAACTAGTGGGTGTTTTACAGGAAGGGGGCCTCGGGGCTGTGACAACAGTGTGATGTGATGGGTGCGATGTCGGACCAGTGACTCAACACGAGGTGATGAGAAGCCCAAAGACCAGCTCCATATCCAAATCCCAGCTAACGTTAATGCAACGCAGTCAGAAGGGCACAATGGTGATGATTTCTCTTCAGAGAATTTCCCCACATTTAAATTCAAACTCAACCAAACATGATGATAAAAAAAATCGTTTGACAAAATCCCCCATTTTTGGTATTTGTACCACTGGCTGGCTCTGATGTGTGTTCTATAAATGTCCACATCTGCTGAGCAGATATCTCTTTTTTCCGTTTTCTATTTGTTATGCAGCATTTTTGTGCTGCGGTCTGTTATTTCTCCTCGTATCGCAGCTGCAGAAATATCCCCGACATGTTTTCTTTGGGCATTTTAACAGACTGGGTATGGTGGCACTATTGGCACCAACTGCCTGTGCAAATCGCGTAAAAAGAGAAAAACTAATATTCAAACTTGCTCTTTCGGTGCCATTGGCTGAAAGGTTCGTCCCAAATAACAATGTCTGTGTGGAAAAAAAACTATTTAGTGACCATATAAACTGATATACAGATGGGTCGTATTTCTCAGCTGTTGCTCTGCTTCCTGTCCTCACTACCGATCACTGAGCAGTCACATTATCTACTGGTCAAATGAGCTCCTCCTCAATTTGGATATTTTTGCCAATTAACTATCGTGGGCAGTTCATGTCGAATACCCATTAATCTAATATACATGTTTATGGACAGTGAGAGGCAGTAAAAGTACCCAGAGAGAACCCACACCAGCTAAACAGAAATGCTAATGTATGCATGTTCTGTGATAATCGATGACACCAAAAGGATTTTACAGTCTTAAAAGGCACACAATTAAAACAAAAGCTGGATCGAAAGGATTGACATGAGACGAGGCACTGGCCAACAACCACTCCTGGAACTGTGGGACTGTGCACTGAATAGAAATCAGGAGCATTAAAGTAGGTCCAGCATTCGTAGGGTTTTGCGTTTGTGTCAGGGATGGTGTCATTTTCGTGTCTCACAGCTTGCCCCGGGGCTCTGGTCACAGTTTGAATAAAGATCAACTCAGCCACGGCAGCAAAACAACAGGGACACTATTATCTATATCACATTTTTCATGAAGCAAGTGGGTCAACCTCATTAAGCCTTAATACTGGCCTTGATGTGAGCACTTAGAGCCAGTTAGCAAAGGACACTGTTCTCTGCCTTCACCAGCAGTCGCTAGAAAACGGCCCTTTTATTACTTCTAAACATCCTTATTGTGCTCAAAAGTATCCAAATGTTGATTCCTTTTTCCGTTTGGTGCGGGCAGCACTGCCCCTCCTACCACAGGCCCAGGTCTGCTTCCCAAAGCATTTTTACTAGTCCTTTTCGAAAGGGTCATGTCTATTTTTTAAATGGATTTCCAGACAGGAAAATAAATAATTTACAGTGATCCATTTTATTTGCATTGGGATTGAAACTAAAATTAAACTGCATTTAAAATGTTGCCTATCTGATTTGGAAGGGCCAATTTATCCATCCTGAAAATGAGAAACCAGCTATAGTCCAGTCCACATCTCAACTGGCTCTGTTATCTCATACCAAGTAAACTGACAGAGGCGAGGAGGGGGGGGGGGTAACCTTATGACACACATCTCAGCAGTAGCTGGAAAAAGAAAGGGTCATGTTGTAAGCGAGCTTCAAGTTCCAGCATGCTGACATCCCCATGGGGAATTAAAAAAAACATATAACACCTCCCCAGTCATAAAACAGTGTTTCTTAGTAACCTTATATTAATTATAGCAGCTTTCCATTGTGCCATATACGTTTTATCCTTCAGGGACAGAGAGTGTGAAAATGGAGGCCTGACTGTAATCCATTTATCTACATGGCTGCTTTTTTCATTTGAACTGTGTTTGAATTTTAGCATCTCATTCGAAGTTTCAAAAGAGGAAAGTCGCAAAATTTTTGTTTTAAACTTTAAATAATTTTTCATGTATTGAGATGCTGTCATGTGATCTAATTTCTTCTAAATACAAAAAATTTGTTCAAAGTTTTTTGCATGCCTATACCTCCGCCATCGGGCCTTTAAAAAATAATTTGTGTTGTTGAAAGGCAACACTTGGATGTCACATAAATGGATAAGACAAAACACTTCTGTTGTTTTTAAGTTCTTATTTCCAGCATCTACATCTTCACAATCTAGAGATGTTCAAACTTTCATTCCTCTCCGCTATTTGTGGGCATCACTTTTTCAGAGAAACAGTCAAACGGCATGGAGAAAGAAAAAAAAAGAAAGTTTATGCGCCACACGCCCCCACCCTTCTGCTTTTTGAGGATAAAGGCCTTCCTTATATAGAGCGGTGTGACGACACAATGTAGACTGGAGGCACATGTCATGATCAATAATCATTTTAGGCCAAAACGTGAGGGGGCGACAGACACAGAGCACCAGTGGCACTGTGACACGTGACGGAGAATAAGGTTCAAGACCGGCCTGAAACATTCTTTACCCCAACATAAGAAACGGAATGACAGCTTCAGCAATTTGAACCACTTCTAAATCGCCTGTTTTCATGGGGAATTCACCTATTTCCGCTTTTTTTTATTTCATCCAAAGACGGCATGCCAGGTGCTGAATGGGAGACGCTACAAAAATCAATGGCAATCAATCAATGGCAGCAACACGTTTTTACCACCGTGTAGCATCTCCTTTTCTTTTAGCAACTCTCTGCAAAAAATCTGGGAACTGAGGAGTACAGTTATTGGACCTTTAGAGAGGAAGGCTGTCTGATTATCCTTTGATAAGGAATTTCAGCTGCTTAGAAGTCAGCCAGCAGCAGTGCTCACCTGTTCGCTGGGCAAACCGGAGCATTTGTTGAGCTAAAACTTCTTTTTACCTTAAAGAACCGGTGGTTCCTTACAAGATTTTCAGGTTGCCAGGTCAAAAGATGCACTCTCATACAATCCGAGGCGTTTGATTTGAGTGGTAATAAGAAGCTGGGAGGCCCCCCTCCTTTTTAGTTTGAAATACTCAAAGCCTTTGCCAGTTGATGTTGTTGAACATAATTCCAAACTTCTGCTAATTGCTTAGCTTCTGCTCTATTTTCCTTCTGAGACTCTGCTTAATCTAAGTGCTCTTTTTACTATACAATCATATTGCAAACGAGTTTCCAGCTACTTAACCTTTTGTTGGCCCTGTCCCAACGTTTTTAAGGTGTGCTGTGGTCATCAAACTCAGGACCCAATGCTAGACTTTAGGAAATGGTGCGATATCTCTCTTTAAACACTTGATAGGTTTTATTGATTTTAGGTTTTGCATGTGCATCCGAGTGCTATTGACTAAAACCTCAAAGCCAAAAGATTTGCTTCATCCGTGGAGTGACGCCCCGTGCTGCACAGTCACTGAAGTGAACGGCCATGCCGCACAACAGAGGCCGGCTCACCGTCGGTGCCAACACAGGGGGCACAAATGTGGGCAGCAGTGACAGAGCACTTCCTTCCTTCCACACTCCCCAGGACCTCTGCAGCTCGCCACGTGCCTGTTAGATACCTGTCCATTCGGCCTTTTCCAGCTGTGCGCCAGCGGCGCCAAGAGAAATAAACATCCAACCGAAAATAGAACGGTCTGCTGGAGTATTCAAACAGAATAGAGCTGCGCAGATTTATTTAAGTCACCACACGGAAACATCTTTTTTTTTGTGAATCTTTTAAGATTTTTGTAGTCTTCTGTTTCTGTTTGGAGACAGGTCTTCGTACAAACCAGAGCAGTTCTCAAAATGTATTTAAAAGTTAATTAAATCCTATAAAAAAGTGACAGATAAAGGTCCCAGCTCTTACTTTCAGGCATGATGTGATGCATGGCTACAGACAGGAAGAAGATGGAGTCGCTGTAGTAGGCCCCGGAGCCGGCGCTGAAATGTTTCTGCATGGCTTCCACCACAGGGAAAAGTTTCTGTGTGAGCTCTACCACATCATGAAAGGACACCTGAGGGGAGGATGAAAAAAAAAAAAAGAGTTTTAACAAGAAGGAAAAAACTGCTGTAAAGCTGGTCAGACCCCATCTGGGGAGTTGGTACTTGGAATATGGTTTCAATTTAAACTCCTGTTACCTTAGAGATGGAGGTTACATCACAAATATGACGAACATCCCGTCTACTCTTATTAGACTCTCACAGAACCACAATACTTCACATTTCTCCCTTCTCTGAACCGTGCCTATGATATTCAAACCACCTCAAACCCAGAAGAGGAGCATCTCAGTGACCACCATCGTGTTCTTGTAGGGTTTGCACATGCAATGTCTCTCCTGTCACCATGAAATAAAATATTTAGGAAAAAAGAGGTGCGATATGTTGAAAAAACACTTAACATAAATTATTTATTTCTGTCCCTTTTTTTCAAGATGATGGAACTTTGGGTAATAGTCAGTTTGAAGTGTGCACAACTTTTCCAAGTGCTGTTACTGTGTCCATTTGAGTCCGCTATGTCTGTGGTTACTGTCGGGAGTTTTTAAATTTGTCTGTATTAGTGAGAGACTTCAAACCGGGAGCTATATGTTCCAAAGCAGTCAAGACAGACTAAATGTGGATGTCTATTACATGCTGCAAAAGCGAAGCCATCGTGAGAGCAACAGCCACAGGCTATCAAGAGACAGCTGTCAAATCCCATGAGAAACAAGTGGCCACAACACGTGCTGCTAAATTAAAGGGCGGGGGGGGGGATAGCGGAAAGAGAATTAATTCTCAAGAAACACTGTTGATGTAAACAGCGTGTGTGAACATAGGTCTATCAACTGCTTTGGTAAAACGCTTTCCTGTATCTGAGTTTCCTGCCTCTAAGTGCTGCTTGAATGAGCTTTAAATCCCACATCAGCTGTGAGGTGGCAGTTTCTGATCTAACCACGTGCAGTAAGGCAGCTCCAAGGATTACTGAAAGAGGGTTTTTTAAAAATACATTAAGAGCTGGTCATATCTGAAGGTCTAACGCAGGGGGAATACATAGAAGTTGGTTGGAACAACCGTTTGAGCCTGACTTGAGTTTATGTTGGAGGCTTTGGATAAAACCTGGAAAACATATCTATTTTAAGCGGCACAAAAGTGGCTAATGTGATGTAAAAGTGGAAGTTTAAATGAGACATTTACATGACAGTAAATCAGTTTCACATCATCTGAAGCACATTCTGTTAGTAGAATAAACTTTGGTAAAAAGATTTATATGGCGAGTGGGGGCAAGAGAACTTTAAGAAAGTGCACGCAGCAGCCCCAGTCAGCAGGACATCCATTTCAGAAGAACTAAGGCCGGCGGGGAGCTTTTACACAGCGACTGCTTGGGCCTGGACGTCGTCGGCCACACAGGCAGAGAACAAAAGCCTTGGTGACCTCTTATCTAATCCATTTTATAAGATGAGAGTAGCTTTTGGATTTTTCCTGCAGTCTGCTTCATATGCAGTGTAAAAAGTGTCACTTTGTGCAATAAATGGTTTCAAAAGAGCAACAGAAAAAAGAAAAAAAACTCTGCTGTGAAGGTTTTAACTGGAAAATGCATCTTATCAATTTCTCGTTCAAACTTCAGCCCTAAAGGACTAACAGCTCAAAACTTGTGAGTGAAATGGGACAGGCTGCTCACTAAAATGAGCCGAGTGGGTTCTTGTATTTGCTGCTGCTCGGAGTGTGTTTGCACTACGTTAAGAAATAATGAAAAGGACTGAACCTCTGGCCTTGTGGATCATTGCCTCTGCCTGGCTGTGGGCAGACCCGGGGACATTTAAGCTATGGCAGGACTCGTCTTCTGTGTGTGCACATGAGGAAGAGGAGGCGGCGGCTGAGTTTGTATCCTAATAGAGGAACTGGGACTCATGATCTCTAATCACCTTGTTTAAAAGAGCTCATCAGGAATGACGCCATGAGACTGATAAAGGCTGCGTACACACGGCCTGATTGCTCTTTCCAGACTCACTCTGAAAGTACAGCACCTATAACTATCATTTTAAAAAGCACCTAACGAGAGACTATATGCTCCTTATATCATATTTTTCATCACAGTTCAACATCAGCATCTTTATCAGCTTACAAGCATCAGGGAACCTGCTGATGATTCATCTCCCTATTTTTTCTGTTGGTCTTAAGGGTTTCTTACTCAGAGGTGCAGTGATACAGGATACACAAACATCTGGACACACAAATCCAACTGCTTCTTCCCAATGTTATTAAGACATGTGTCTGTGTTGGCAAGCCACCCTGTAGTGCCCACACATTTATATAATGTATTATAATTGTATTTCCTTTTGATGATAATTGCCGCTAGTCAATGCCTTGAACGCCAAAGAGCAAATCCTCTTAGAGAGCCTACTTCTTAATATCACCAAATAGCCGCTCCCGCATTTGCTGTGCACGCTGTAGCATACATTTTAATGATGACTGGGACTTCCAGTCCGCCGACAGAAAAAACAAACAAAAAGCGGAATAAGCACAGAGAGTGAAATAAGACATTTTCTCTGATTCCACTGAATGCAGCTCTCTGTGCCGTTCTGACTGAAATGTGGCACCAGCGATCCCCGTTAGTTAACAGGATTAATATCAAAGTAAACAGGTGTGTATTCATGTGGGGGAAAAACATGTTTTTTTCCCCTTTTTAATCAATGAGGAACCGGCCACAGTGGTTTAGAAACAGCTTTAGTCGTGTGTCTGCATCAAACTATCCATTCGCCATGTGGTAATTAACTTATTTTGACAGCCGCCGCCGCACTTCCCACCTCCCCCACAGCCTCCATCACCACTGGTCCACAACATGTTGACAGTACGACAAGTGCTCCACCTGACCTGAGAGCGAAATGGTGATTAATTAACAGAATAATGTGCACCCAAGCCGTTTCACATAAGGGTTTTGGTTCTTCACTCGGTGTTAAAGAGACCTCGCAGGGCCCTTTTCATCTCCCTGGTAACAATTATCAGTTTTACTTCTCTGTAACACTTCTCAGAGTCGTTCACCAACACACATCCTGCGCTTTGCACATCACACACTGCATCTGCGCTACTACAGGATGACTGGAGAGTGTGAGACGAAGCCCGAATAGACGGTTTAAAAGTGCCAAGATGCGCTAAGCTGAACAAACCTCTGACCATTCCAACGAGGAATGGGATCATCCTAAAATAACAGAAAGCAGCAGATGTTTTACATGATGAGACATTCCTGAGGAGGGGACAGAACACTTCGGGGGGGATTTGAAAGGGGATAAGTATTCTGTAAACATGTTTATGCCTGTGTGTGCTGTGAGAAGCATATAAAAAAGGGGAAACTGGGCAGCACATTTGAAATAAACAATGCCAGGGCAAAATCCCCTTTTTTGGCACAGCAAATTAGGTAAACTCCAATTAGTTGTGGGTCAGTTTAGCAGCCAAACACTGCCCCCATGTGTTCAAAGGTTAAACAGAACCGGTTGTCTTTTAGTGCAGGCCTTTTGATTTAAGCAAAGGGATCCGGAAGCTCATCATAAATTACACAAAGACCTCTGACAGCTTGCTCTTAAGAAGTTGTTTTACCTTTTTTCCCCTCCCACAGGGTGTTATAAGTCAAAGGGAGGGCGGTTATTGGTAATTCTGTGCTTAGTAGATGTGCTTCATGACCATCTTCCCATTGATCAAACTTGCCCCAAATCAAGATGGTGACCATGATCAAAACTTGTAATATCTGATGTATAATTTATCTATATGAGATCTGAAAAGCCAATAGCTGGCTTCCAGTTACTACAGCAGATATTAGAAAAATCATAACGTATTCATAGTGTCCATGAATGTAACAAATCTGGAATTGATTGCATCTGAAAAGAGGCTCGTTTTAAATACTTCTTTCAATTAGGACAGAGACAGATATAAGACTTACCTCATATTCAAATGGTGCATCTTGAAGAAACTCCTGCAGCATCCTCTGGCCCAGTTCCCGGCTGGCCTGGTCACTCACAAAATGAAGCACCAACACTTCCCCTTCCAGGAAGCGTCCATGTTTCACCATGGACAACATGGCCACTCTGAATTTGTCCTGCAGGCTTCGGCTCTTGTCCACCTTGGTGAACATCATCAGTGCGTGGTAGCGCTGGCCTTCCGCCTCATCGTTCCCTCTCCTGGACCCTAAAAGCTGACCTTCCCCTCCCACGTCACGCTCTTCCCCCTCTTGCTCCTCAGTCACAGTTAAGTGTGAGAACCTGGTGTCCACAGTTAGGTCGGCGTCATTTCTGTTGGTGCTGGCCTGGGTTTGTTTGATCCTCTTGGTGGTGCTGGAGAAGCTGTGCCTCTCCGAGCCAAAGTAGTAAAAAGCTACGACAGCGAGTGCGGCAGCCATCAGAAGCACAAACTGATAGGATCTGAATGTACTGATCCTTCCCATGATTCTAGCCAACAGCCTTAAGAAGCCCATATCTCCCTTCTGATGTCATGTAAATGGGGGTCTAAGGGGGAAAACAATCACCATTTTGAGCTGGTCACCGCGAACATGTACCTGTAAGACAAAGCATTTTGTTTTAGTTCAAGCTCCGACATACAAGGTGCTAGACTTGAATAAAAAAAAAGAAAAAATAATATTTAAAGTGCTTGAATGCACACAAAGCAGCTCAAACATTGTTTTTTTGTTCAAATACATTTGATGCTGAAATTATTCTCTGGAAAAAAAAAACTGTAAGCCAAATGGTTTTCGTTTGGTTTGTGTGTAAATTAAAATCAATACTAACAGTCTGGACGAAACAATTTAAATCAAATAGGTAAAGAGAAAGTTTTAAGGATGCAAATCCTCATGTTTTTCAGTGGTATATTCAAAGCCAATGCCACTTCAATTCCGGATATTTTCAAGCCTAAACTACTCTTACTTGTGTTTGTTTTGGTCATATAAATACATTATTATGGAAAAACGGGTAGAGTTGTCACACTGTTAATATTGGTTGTTAACAGCTAGCAAAAAATCATGCACGTTAAATGACTTTAGCAGAAAATGACTGGTACGTGCCTGTTAAATGTCGTGGACTCCAAGTGTACCGCTTGTTCAAGGTTTAAAATTTCCCAAGACATTATTTTTTTAAGGTTCCCAAAACAATTTAGTTACGGAATTCAACGCCACAGAGGCACTTCATAATGAAGAAACCCGTAAAAATAAACGCAAGCCGGACCTGTTGACATGTCACAAGCGAGGGTGCCATGTTAGCAGGGGACAAGCGCCTAAATGGGGCTGCTAAGCGACAGTCCGACCATGTTTTCCGTCCCAGGATCTCACAAAAAACACCTTTTAAGAGGCTAAAATACCTGCTTTCAGCGTGCATACCTCAGTGGATTGAAAACCAGCACGAAATCTGCATAATTCTTTAGTTTCGAAGGGAAAACATGCAGGACCATGAGCTGCAGAAGGGTCCAAGCTAACAGCCGAGCAACAAAATCCTCTGACACAATCTAATCACACCCACTTCGACACTTGTGTTACCTTAATGTGCTGTCAGACAAATTATATCTCTCATAGACGTAGTATTTCCCCGGATACAGCACTGGCTAATACCCTTCACTTCAATCTGCTCACATCTATGTTCAAATGTCCTTGGTGGAAAGTAAACAGATCATTTGAATTGACTGTGTATGTATAACTGAGTTTTCGAGTGCATCTGATTTAAATGTTTTATCAAATAAGGTTAACAACATTGTGTCTGACACTGGCTATTTCTTCGTAACGTGACTGACTATGATCATCTTAGGAGTATTACTACAGAGAAAGCATCCAGGTATTTCCAACCTCACGTGCAAATCAAAATCTAGCATGACTGCCATAGACGACCCCATATTTACGAGCGTAAAACGACATTGAACGCAACACCAGCCTCCTGAATCACGACGGTTGTTGCGGCCGTCCTGCAGTTGTATTGTTGCTCCCCACCAGCACCGTTTCCGGAGGTCTACGCAAAAACAAGCTTTCCGCTGGCTACAGAAAAATGCTAGCTTTTGTATTTGCCTGATGCTTTTCGTGTGGTAACCCGTGCATAGCTCGCTGTTTTTAAATTTGGCTTCGGGGACGTAGCTAGCAGTAGGCAAGGTGGCTTGATTTGCTATCGTGAAAATGACTTCTAACACGCACGTAATTCAGGTGACTAATGTCTCCCCCAGCACAACCTCCGAGCAAATGCGGACTTTGTTCGGATTCCTTGGAACCATAGAGGAGATGAAGTTGTTTCCACCTGAGTGAGTATCGTGTACTGTCCTTGGGTAAGGAGTTTTCTCCCCCCGGTTTCTCGGCTCATGGAAAGCTGGTTGAGGCCTCCAGCGACGAGCAGGCCTCTGGAGCACTGCATGCTAATGCCAATGCTAATGTGAATGTTTGCCCGCGAATTTAGTCACTTCCCCCAATGTACATATTGGTGATCAAGTAATATAGCACCTTTATTAGTCTATTTTCTTGCTCAGATCACATTTTAATTTGATTGAGTGCACGTTTGCAATGACTTTCCTTCTTAGCCATTAGAAATGTATCAGTTCTCAAGCTGTCAATCAGATTGCAAAAAATGACTGAAGTCCTTTCTAATAATCAAACACATCACCAGCCTGGGGAGCGCGTGGTTTGTTGTTTGTGTTCTATTGTCTCTTACTTTATTGTTGTTTTGTGGAACAAAAACATAAAGGCTTAATTAAAGTAGCAAGTCAAATTATTGTGGATTTATTTCAGTCTTCGAGATTAAAATGTACCTTTCACATGTTAGGTGAACGACCCCAAACACCAACTAAGAAATGAGACAGTTAATAACTCTTTTATTAAATAGGCATTTATCATCTGTTATACATTCATAACTTTGGAAAGACCATTTTTCACTTATATACAAGCAGAGTAAATGGGAGTATGTCAAGGTAAATGTCTCAGTGTTATGTCTGTACTGACTAACAATTCATTTGATGTCCCAGATCTCACTTTAATGAGCTTCTTGTGAATGCAGAAGCTAGATTCCATTATACTCCTTCTGGCTACATTGGGACATAATTGTGCTTTGCTTCGTGTTTCCTTCTATTCACTTACACCTGGCTACTCCACAGGTAGGAAACATGCAGGATGTGCTTGTGACTATAAACATGTGCACAACAATAGATTCATAATCCAAAAAAGCCTTCTGGCCATAACACTTAAAAGTTTTCAGGAGGAGAAAAACAAAATGCACTACTGATTACTTATTTTTCTCCTCAGATATTTTTGGTCAGACACCACAAGCTGGCACATCTAACCACCTCATTGCTATCAGAAAGTTTTGTGAACTTAGTCGTCCCTGGGGACAGAGTGTGAAAGTTTAAGGAGGGCATGTTGGCTTCCCACGTTTGTATTCTTTGCACAACATATCTGTATTTTTTTCCAGTGACTCTCCCTTGCCTGTGACTTCACGTGTCTGTTTTGTAAAATTCCATGAGCCTGAGTCGGTAGGAGTGTCTCAGCACCTGACGAACACCGTCTTTGTGGACAGAGCCTTGATCGTGGTCCCATTTGCTGAAGGTGGGTGTCTCTTTTATTCATTCACCGTCAACATGATTATCTCTAAGGGTACATCACGTGTAGAAGTGCAGATTTGTACTTTTGTGACTTTTTTTCTTTCTTGGCTAACCTTTTTCAGTGCTTGGCATCTTTAGGGTATATGAAGGGAAATGTAAATTTGTGTCTTTGTGTTACAATTTAGCTGTAAACCTCTCTCTCTGTTATTTGTGTTGTGGTTTTCATAGTGGACAAGTCATTTGCAGAGAGCCCCTTCCTTGCTGGCTGAAAGTGGTCTTCTGCTGCCATCAGGAGATTAGAAAAAATAATGGCGCCAGGCTCGCAAGCCCCATCTCTCTCTTGTCCTGCAGTAAAATATTAACTTTTTTTGTTTTTTTTCCCCCTTCTCTATCCAAAGGCATCTATTCTTTGTAAAGAGAATTGGCAGCACAAATCAAATTAAAAGGTGGGGGTGAGGGTGCAGAGCTGTTTCCTTAAATGTTGGAAAGGATGCAAAGGACTTTGTGTTGATGAGTAGACGTGCACAAAACCAGGGATGCCCCGAGCAGGTGGTTCATTTGAGCTGCCTTAGTGTTCTTCGTCAAAGCGAGAGTAAAACCCACTGACGAGCCGTTTCTGATCCTCTGTTTATATTTTAACTATTAAAATTCTCATATCAGCTCAGAAGAATACAAAATGGGTTACTCTTAATGTTTTCTAAGGATCGCATACATGAGGAAGCAAAGGATCGCCTCCTGTTAAACACAGGGGTTCTTTAGTGGTTATACACCAACAGGATTTACATAAATGCATTTAAAAGTGGAAACTTGGAATTATATCCGCAGTTAACAAGCTTGTTTCCGGTTTCCTGCTTTGACAGAGCCGTGCCCACTCGGTCTCTCAACTTGGAAGTGTATAAACGCTCCACAAAACTCACAGGTATCTTCACTTACTGGCTGATTAGACCTTATTTTTAGGTGCATGCTGAGTGGTGCCATGAAGGAAGGTCACCAAACGCCTGCTGTAAGTAGTCCCACGGCAGCTCGGTGAGGGAGATGATGTAGCCCGTAGTCTTTGAGGTTGAATCAGCGGGTGAAAATGCCTGTGGGGGTGTTTGGATCCCGTTCACCCAGCACTCAGACTGGTTTAACTCTTAAAATGTAGACGCGCTGCCTGACCAAGACTTTTCCACACAACCACGCTACAATGAAAAAATATAAATACTGGATCTGGATTTGTAGCTCGTAGGCTCCCCTGCAAAGAAACTCCTCAGATTTTGGTTCAAAGAGACGTTTCGGGACATCCCTACCAGCACAAAGCATGCACCATAGAAGAAGCAGTCAGCCATGCATGCTAGTCTAAAGTTAGAGGGCGTGTGCCCTCATCTACACGGTCAGGATTAGGGGGCTTTGTATTTAAAGGTGTGAGGCGCATATGGATTATAAGCGCCGGCGCTGCGTCCAACATGTCTTATTTGATTTCTCTGTGTTTCATGTGCCAAAGACTTGTTTTATTCAACACTGAGAGTTTGTACTCCTCAACAACCAGAAGCCCGCCAGTGGTTAAAGGTAGTCTTCAGGCTGTGCTAAATGTTGCTGCTTAAATGCTTTTTTTAGAAATAGAGCGTCTCCACGCATATCAACTGAACGAGATAAGTGAATCTCACATTTAACAGTGGTGTTTCTTTTGTTGTTGTGTTTTACAGTTCTTTTTCCTGGTTCAGCCAGCCCTAAATACCAGGCCCTGCTGAAAATGCCACCAACAGTTTTGTCCTCTGCAGCCTTATCCTGTTTCTCAAGTGTCTTTTCTGTTTGTGTGTGCGTGTGAGGGTGTGTGTGTGTGTGTGTCTCTCTCTCTCTCTTTTTTTTTTTCTTTTTAAAATGTGAAAATGTCATATTTTAAAATAGCCCGTTTCCAGATTACACAGCCATGGATGATCATCTCATGTTTGATTCTCTTCACCTTTGGGCATATTTTTTCAAGATTTGATCATTTGAACTATTGCTGGCTATTGTCCATGATTGTTTAGTCCAGCTAATTGTTTACATTATTAAGTGTTTAATGTTATATGCTGTTGGTTTTAAGGTAGCACTGATTTAGAGTAGCAGCCAACAGAAACGGTAGCATGAGTGACCCTTCTCACTTTGCTTTCTTTTGTAGTGGTTATGGTAAGTGATGTTGAAATGTACCCTTGTGTCTACGCCCAAATCATGAACTTTGTTTTCTGTATCTCAATGTTTTTGTGTGCTTTTATAGCGAAGCAGCCGGCGTGAGTCGCTTGTTCATAAAACATCTAATGAAAGTTGAGAGCACATCCCACGGGAGAACTGGCTGTGTTTGCTAACGTTTGGTTCATGACTTAAAAAACAAGTACAGGTGATCAAATCTTGGCAGTGTTGACCACAGTGTGTATTGTGACTTTTAAACTTTTAGCTGCTAATCCTACAGTAAATACTTTCACACAACAGTCAGGGTTCAAGATTTACAGACAAGACAAAAAAAAAAAGTTAAAGTTGGATTTTTGTATTTTTCTTATTCCTACTTCAGAGTAGTTAGTCTAAAGGTGGCTTGTCTGCAAGTCTTGTTTGAGTGTTGTCGACACTCCCTCGGAGCACGGACTGAAATGTTCCCGTTTCCCTCCAGGAGTCATTCCTGATGAATCTAAAGCTATGTCGCTGCTGGCTCCAGCCAACGCTGTGGCGGGAATGATGCCCGGGGGCGGTCTTCTTCCAACTCCGAATCCTCTGCCATCAGTAGGTTTTCAGTTTGTTTCTGCTTTGTCGGCTTTTTAAAGTTTTTATCGAAAATCAGAAGTATATTCCATATACCATGTGTGTACTGTGCTTGAAAGAGTTGGCTTTAGGTGTCCGCACAGATGCCAGTTTTTGACACACAGACAGTAATAATGTTTGTTCATCAATGTGAGCCTGAACGGTGTCATGTGTGCCACCGTCTGCTGTTTAGATGGGAGCCACACCATTCGGAGGTCTTGGGGCTCCTAACATAGATCAAATTACTGCAATGGGACTTCAAGGACCCAACATGAACCCGCAGGTAAGAACGAAGGACCTCACAGTTTCACACAGAGGAGCGATTTCCAGCAATAACGCTTTTTATGGGCCGTCCTCTTTTTCAGGCTATTTCTGCCGACTTCCTGAAGCTCATGCAGTCCATAGACCCAAAGTAAGAAGCGGCCCTCTCAAAGTCGGTGTTATCCAGCATGAGTCATGAATTCTAACGGATTTCTTTGCTTTGGCAGACTGAATCCACTAGTCGCTGGACTTAACTTGAATCCAGGTCTGAAGGCAGACGCCTCCAACAAGGAGATCGAAGAGGCCATGAAGCGCGTGCGAGAAGCGCAGTCTCTGATTTCTGCTGCCATCGAACCTGGTGAGTGAGTTTCGGTGTTTGGGTGCCTCTGTGTTCAGTGAGATTTCCCCTGAGCGAGGAAATGATGCTTTGAAATGACAGCTTCCTCCGAACAGCCTGTAAGTTTGTCTTTCCGTCTACAGGTAAAAAAGACGACAAACGCAAACATTCCCGCTCCCGCTCGCGGTCCCGCAGGAGGCGCTCCAGGTCCCGCTCCAGGCACAGGTGACGGCATCCCACCAGCAAAAGCGCACGTCGAAACATACCGTGTTTTTTCCCTTTGTACGATGACGTAACGAGGCTTTGATCTCTTTAATCTGAGTAGACGCTCCAAGAGCCGGTCTCGGCGTAGATCCCATTCCAGGAGCAGGAGGAGGTCCAAGAGTCCCCGCCGGAGGAGGACCCGGTCCCGGGACAGAGGCCGGCGCAGCAGATCCCGGTGCGCTGCGCCCATGGCCGCCTCTCGTTTTACCGACGGCTTTGGGTCACCGCCGGCTGACTCTTCCTTTCTGTCTTTAAAAAGGGACAAGAGAAAGGAGGAAAAGGCTAAGAAGAGAGACAAGACGCCCCCTAAGAGCTACAGCAGTTCCAGGAGATCCCGCAGCATCACTCGGTGAGTAGCGTGGACGGCGACTTACTTTCTGTGTTGTGGTCCCAACAGCCACCTGATCCAGGGTCTGTTTGTCTCAGGAGGCACAGGAAAAGTCGCACCGCCTCCCGGTCCCCCAAGAGAAAGCCCTCCAGGTCTCCCTCCCCCAGACGGTCAGTGAAAAAGCACCACAAAGCCCCAACGTCAAATCAGCCATAAACGATTCTGTCATTCACTGATTCATTCATTCACTTCCAACAGCCATAAGAAGGAAAAGAAGAAGGACAAGGAGAGGGAGAAGGAGCGGGACAGGGACAGGAGGGAGGAGCGGGACAGAGACCGGGACCGCAGCCGAGATCAACGAGAACGCTCCCCCAGCAAGAAAAAGAAGAGCAAAGACAAAGACAAGGAGCGGGAGCGAGAGCGCGAGCGCAAGTCCGACAGCGAGAAAGGTGACGTTAAGGTATGTGTGGAGCAGGGGGGTGGGGGGGGCCCGATCCGGCAGCCCGTTACCCCGCCGAGGGCTCTGGACGGATGTTGTTGTTTATACGGATGGAAAAAAGGAGGCGTCTGCATGCGAACTTTAGCTCGAGCAGATTAGAGTCAGTGCTTATAGTTCAACTTGCTGAACTCTCCTTTAAAGTGAGACCGCCCCCCCCCCCCACAGGTGACGCGGGACTACGATGAGGAGGAGCAAGGTTACGACAGCGAAAAGGGAGAAGAGGAGGACGAGGAGGAGAGGAAGAGCGACTCGGACTCCGTCTCCTCCCCAAAAGGCCAGGAAGAGATGGAAAGAGACGAGGCTCAAATCCCCAAAAAGTCCAAACTGAACGGAGACGATCACCACCAGGAGGACATGGAGATGAGCGACTGATCTCCCCCAGCCCGTCGGCTTCCACTCTCCTTTTTCTATTTAAAAAAAATGGGCCACATTATGTCCGTGCCTGATCAGTCAAACAGATTTGTCTTAACCATAGAAGCGTCGCTGAGGGAGCTGTAGATAACAAGCAGTCAGATTTTTGTAAAAAACAAAAAAAAACAAAGAATATTGAAAACACGAAACCTGGTTTTAACACGTCATTGCTGTAGTTTTTATTTTTCATTTTTATGCTCTTGTTGATTCTTTGTGTTGCCTTTTCTGTTCCAGCATGGTTTTCCTCGACAGCGGAAGACTGCATATTTTTAAGTCAAATGTTTTATCTGTAAATATTGTACTTGTCAGTTTTCACTCACTGACCAGCACAGAGCTGTTTTTGTTTTTTTGGTTAAACGGTAATGCACTGTCATGTTTCAGCCGTCCCATTTACCTTTTTAAGTACACAATGTAGATAGAAATGTGTTGTTGCCATGAAATGCATAGTCTGCGATAGATTTTTCCAAAGGAAACGAATAAAATGAGAAAAAAAACGCGACTTGTTGCATCACTCATGGAACAAAGGGGGAATTTCCATGTTCTTTGTATTGGCAAAAAAAAAACAACTTTACACTTTGCTGTTTATTTTTATTCACTGCATGGATGTAAAAAAGTGAAAACTCGTGGGATTTTTTTTTATTTTAGTACTTTTTTATATGAAAATAGTGTCGCAGACTTATTCAACAGTTTTTGCTGTACAACTGACATGTCGATGGGTGAATAAAATCTGACAAAACATTTCGAGTCAGCAGGGAGCCTCGAATTAAACAAAGCATCACATCAGTGAGGAGGCACGGTTCTACTACCAGCACTTGCTGCACAAAGGATCATGTGATCACTGAAACTGTTTGGTGACGATACTAAACGTGAGTAAAGGGGGAAAAGACCGGTGTGTCAATAGTTGGGATTCTGAGCCACTTCAACATCCAACAAACAGCTTATTAACTACATCAGCACCAATGAACGACGATTGTTAGACACAACTCAGGTGCTTTGTGCTTTTCACGCGGCTGCAACGACTTTCTCCACATCTGGTGGCAAAGAAAAGATTCATTTTCATTTACAAGTACGAAAAAAAAAGTACAAAAAATACTGACGTATACAAACCAAAAGATTCGAATGAACTCACATGATGCAACATTAAAAAAAAAAGCAATCCCTCGTACACATGTGAGAAATGTGAGCTGAAATTATTAAAAAGTAAAGTAAAAGACAAAAAAAAAACATGTTATCTTGTCAAATGCCTCGTTAACGTGTAAAATCGTATCAAACCATCGTCCCCGAGCGTCTATTCATTGCACAGCCGCCAGTTTTCTCATTTTATTAGGATGGTAGTTTGTTACAGAGTTCAAAAAGGATAAGAGACAAAAGGCTGGATTAGCATAAGACTGTCCATCAAAGAGACTTTGCAGTACCATGAAAATAGGCATTATTACATCACCTCCTCCATTAAACTGAAACGTTGATGTTTGAGGTTCGGTTTCACAAAACGAGTGTCTGTGAGCTCAGCTCCGAGTAGCTATAGTGAATCCTACATAGTGCCCAAACGCTCATGGGTGCTGATTAAAACGCGCGCAGTTGCACCATTCTGTGCAGAGTCGATGAGGAATTCAACCAAAAATTTACATTTAGGTTTATTACTTACGAGAAAATTGCTTTCCCAAAAGTACCGCAGTAATCTGAGCCCTCTCTGGAACTGGATGAATAAATGAATCACCCTCATTCAGTTTGCAGCCAGGACTTTATCATTTAGTGCCTTTAATATAAAATTACAAATGACAACTGACTGGTTGTTGTTTTTCTTTTTGTCCAGTGTGCTACAGAAGCAGAGGAAGAGCCTAAAAATGAACTCTGGGTGGAATTCCTCTCCAGAATCGCACACAGTAACGTCAGTGCTTCACTACGGGTCAGTTTCGGGTCGTCCCTTTAGAAACATTACTTACATATTTAAATAAAACAGAACGGCTCGTCTTTTTAGATTCGTAGCACATATACAGAAAACTCACCTGCTCGGCTGCCAATTCTTTTTTACTTCAATGCCCTAAACCCCGTGAGGTGACCCAAAGCTCAGTTACCTGCACTTCCTGCCACACTAAGGTCAAAGGTCGGGGCGGGAGGCGGAGCCCGAGCCTCTCTGAAAGCTTGGTCACATTTCAGTTTTTGCCCCGCATCTCCTTGTGTCCAGAGTCCCGAGTCGGTCGAGGGATCCTTGTCTGTTTGTAATTTGAACATCAGCGTCCGGCGTTAGAGATCGGGGAAGCGGCTGGGGTCTTCTTTGTATTCGTTGGGAATGGTAAAGATCGACGCGTCGAACTGGTCGTAGCGGAACTCCTGAAAGGTGACGGTGGCTGTGATGGTGGGAAAAACAGGGATGTCTGCGGGGAAAAGCATGAGCAGCGTGAGAAAAAAACAAACAAAAAAACCTGAGTCTTAAAGGAGCGTGCGCCCGTGAGCTGTGAGGCTCTGCTTACCGAGTTTGACGGGAAAGCCGGGGGGGAGCTTCATCTGAACAAACTCCCTGAGTTTATTAAAGTGCTTGAAGGGTGCGATCACCTCCAGGACATTCAGTAACCTGCGTGTGTGTGTGTGTGTGTGTGTGTGTGTGTGTGTGTGGGGTGGAAGAATAAAAGCCATTTAACCACTTCACAGGAACTCAGTCGACATGCTTTTTTTACCGTCTGGATTTTGACTCACGATTCGATGCCCAGAGGGAAGTCTTGGCTCATGGCTATCGTGGCTTTGAAGTTCTTCTTGCTCTCTTTGCACACCAGCTCTCTCCCGAGGTGTGGTGCTCTGACGGGAAGTAAAACGTGTAGTCACAATGGGAGCTTGTTTTTTGTGAGAGTCAAAAGAGCGTCAAAGGTTTCGAAACTCACTTTCCGTTGTCGGCGGCGATGTACTCTTCCCAGGAGATAGTGTTGGGCGTCGGGGCGGTTAAAGACTGCCTTCTTGTTGGCTGAGAAGCACAGAGAAAAATAGAAGTCAGAAACCAAAAACTAAATCTGAGGTGGTTCTTTAATGTGTCGGCCTCCTTGTTTTTCAGTCATTTTGTTAAACAGTGAAGTGGGTGAAGAGTGCATAATGACAGTGAGACAAAGGTAATCCCGTTATTTTTTTTCCTCTTTGTACTCGCAGCTATTGTTCCACGTAAAGCTCACTGGTAAAGCTGGTTACTAGACCAGTTTGATGCACATCACCGGAGCAGAGCAGTGCTCCAAACGGCTCGTGCCACTAGAGGGAGTTGCCCCCTAAGCCACAGCGGCCCCGGAAAAGTTTCTGAATCAGAAAACAGATGTTAAAAAAACATGAAACGCGGCCTTTGACTGGAAACTCAGCAGCTTATTTTCACCACCTACAGAGACTCCTTTCAGCAGTTTTAAACAGAACTCCCACAAACAGGCAGCAACTTCCTCCTCCCAGTGAATCACCCCGGCTGTTTTCTCCCGGCCCTCTTGAGCGACTGCTCCTCATCAGTGTGGGTTTATTTTAGGACCGGACAACTTGTTCTGGCTAACCCTGAGCTGGATCTGGGACATGTGCCACCCTGTCTATCCCAAATTTGATTTTCTCCTAAAAAGAACTTGTTCTTGCCGGTGTGCTGGTTTTGGGAAAAATGGTCGATGCCATCTTTTTTTTTTTTTTGGTGGAAGCCTCCCCCATAAACCGACTACGTCACGGCAGCTTCACACCTCCCGTGTGCTCAGCTCAAACAAAAACAGAAAGCCTCTCCACGGTGACGCGAAGGCCCGCTCCGTGGCGGCTTTTCGCCTGAAACACGAGTTGGCAGGAATTCATAGAGGTGGAAAACAACGGGGGACGCTGTGATCAGGCAAAGCCCCGCGCAGAACAAGGGGAAAAGCCACAAAAAGCAGGAGAGCTTTTTAAAAGGCCTCCAGTGAGTGTCGAGAGGCTTTGTCTTCATTGTGTGACCGGCTTTTTGTTCAGAGGCTCTGGAACATACTGTAGTGCGGGGGTGGTCGGTTGGAAAGGTTTGTGAATAAGTGAACCCGTCCCCGCTGGGTGGCGGCACTGGCCCCTAAATGCATGCAGAGTGGGTGACGGAGGGGGCAAGTTTTCATTCTCTTTTTATACCACAGAAAAACGAGATCGTGAGGAAACCCTGACAGGAATTTTTCCAATAAGCCATGCAATGTTCCTCCTCAGGATCTGTGAGGAAGTTCATGCTGTTTCCACGGGGTTTATCTTTGAACGCATACAGCGGTGAAGCGCGGTGAGCTTTGTTTTGTCTGAGAGACTCCGGTCCTACCCCAAGGTTCCAGCGGGACAGGACCGTTTCAGGGTTGGACTGCTGGTTATGCTGCAGGTGTAAGCCAACGGGACGCGGAAGAGCAAAGCAGAAGCACTCACTTTTAGAAAAAATGCTTTGAACAGAAAGTTTATAGGTTTTTTTGTGTTTTGTTTTTTATACTGAGAGCACCACTTTTTGAGACCCTAAAAAAGGTGTAACTTGTAGAAAACATAATTTGAAAATCCCGAAATCCTCATTGGCGTAACTGTATGAACCAGACACAGATATCTATTGGTCCATAGAAACATTACAAATTAAACGTTATTGTCAGACGTTGTCAGAATATAGGCGCATTATAAATATGTTATTATTTCTTGGTGCCAAAGACCGTGAAAAAAAAGATAAATCCTAAAGCTGATCAACTCAAAATAGGCCATAAAAACACTTTACATGAAAAATTGAATTATTTAAATTGACCAGAAAGCTTCAATCTAAATAAATTATGTTAACATTCCATTCGAGATGTAAATTATTTCTACTACAAAAAGTAGTCTCAATAGCAGCCCTGTGGGGCAGTTTTACCATACGACGATTAGGTGCAAAATCACAAAAGTAAAATCAATGCCTGAGGAGACTTTGCAGGAACGCAGTTTAGACTGAAACTTTAAACGCGGTTCCTTCATCTCCATCAGGGCATCCTGTCCGAGCAGTCGGGGTTCCCGGTGTGCTGCTCACCTCAAAATTCTGCTCTATGAGATTCCCTCCTTTGCTCAGACTCTCCATGATGGCTTTGTTCCTCAGGATGTCTTCCTCACTCAGATGCTCTCGTCTCTTCCTGGACTCCAGCACCAGGCCGTTCACGGAGTAGAAATCGGCCAGGAAGTTTCCCACACGCTCCTGAAGTACAAAAAAAAAAAAAATCAAATAAGAATAGAAAAAATAAAGATAAGCCCCCCCACAGGTATGACCAATTTCCTTTCTCAACACAGGCAAAAACGACTAAAGATTGAAAAACCAGAATGTTATTCTCCCATATTTCAGTGCCCTCGTGTCCCCTACACAGTCTTTGTTGTTTTTAACCCAAAGCCCATCCCCTGTGGTTGCATCCAGCTGCTCCTCTGATTTATTTGCCGTCTGTCATGCCTTGTGTGGCACAAATACATTGGCAGGAAATTTGAGTATTGTACCTAAAAGAAAGAAAAAAAATGTAGGTCTTGCTCAACCTTTATATAGCAAGGGACAAAAGAAAAATGAGGAACTGTTCTTATATTCCTTGAGCAATTCCAAAAAATAATACAATTATTAAAAAGAAAATAGGGAAAATATTCAGAATACAAAAAGACTTATAGACATATATTCTGTACCTAATTTCTCAGCCTAGATGTAAAGTTTGACTTACTGATCTTTGATATCTCTGGAATATTTGCTTTTTCCATGAAAAATAAAATCAAAGTTATATATTAGACTATTCCTGTCAGTATCTGCATCAGAAGGAAAGTATTTAACAAATGATTCCCCAAAAGAGTCCATAGAAAAAAATACATCTGACACCAACCGTTTTGTCCTCTCTAAAGAGCCAACCAGTCTGCGCTCTGGAGAAAGTGATGGACTTGGTGGAGAGCGTGGCGGAGTAAACGTCACTGCTCATCAGAATGTCCACTTCCTCTTCGGTCTCCATTTCTGACTCCTGTAAATACAGGATGAAATTGAATGGAGGCTCATGAGCTCAGATAAGCATGCCCATTTAACGCCAGGCGGAACACAGCCTCTACAACAAGCTGAGAAAACACACAACGCAACACACATAGTGCAAGTATAGCAAATTTAACATAAAAATTTGATCAAAGTGCAGAATGAACATTAACGTTGATTTCAGATAACTAAGTATATAGAAAACTAGCTTTTGACACTACCCTAAGTATTTGTATTTTTAGCAATGTCTTCTTGTGAATGAGTAGAATATGAGAGAACAAAAGAGAAATAAAACATGTTTAGTTTTGGAGTGGCTTTTATTCTCCCTTTCCTCCATTATTTAAAATGAAGAGAAAATAATATCCCAGCACTCAACTCGTATGAACAAATAACTTTGATGTTCAAAGCTCAGCCGAATTCCTCCCAAATAATAATGAAAATCCAGAAGATGACTCATATTTTATTACACTCCTTTGATTTTTGATTTTTTTAGGTCTGCCTTGAGGCCAGAAATGTCAGCTCTTGTTGGAATGCATTGTTTACTCTGGCATCTAACACACACCTCGTGATGTATCCGTTGGTAGACTTTCTGCTCGTTGTCCAGTACAACAAACGACTCGGAGGGAATGGCGTTGCCGTTGAAGATGAAACTGAGGTCTCCGCGCTGACATTTCATATCTGTGAAGTCTATTAGGGTTGTGTCCAATCTGCACAGATGACCAAAATGCAAAATGGAGAGAATACAATTTTTGTCAGAGGAATTTTAAAGAATGTAAAATAATTCAGAGGGTGCCAAGAAAAGGACTTAGTTTAAACAGGTTTACAAAACTGAGCAAAGGAAGGAAACTGCTGCATATTAAACACCTACTCTGACGGTTCAGAAATAGCATGCACGCTAAACACTGCCGCCGAAGGCTTTTTTTTGTGTGTGTGTGTATGTTTCAAAGTGTGTGCCCCTTAAAGGGATATCTGCGTGTGAAGAGCATGGGTGCGATGAGAACGCATGACAAGCATGACATGCTGTGGCAGCAGTATGCAGATGAGCTAACTGCCACACTATTTACTTTCACCCTTCTCTTTCTCTCTTTCTTCTCCACTCGAAAACTCCAGAATAATAAGAAGACATGCTGAATGCTAAATTAGACAGTCTGGAGCAGTGTCAGGGTGTAATGAGATGCTCCACATTAACTCTGCCTCACACAGGAGAGAAGCAGAAACAAACTCAGAAGGATCAATTCACATAGAATTAGGTAGTTGTATACAACCTTTAAAATTGGACTCATCTGTGTATCCGATGGTGGAAGGAGTGGCTTTTATATATATGTGTGTATAACACATACATAATCTTTAAAATAACCTGTGTACGTTACAAAGCATCAAAGTTGTTCAGTTCTAAAGATTCTAAATTGCAGCCGTCAGCGAATGACGGATGTCGGCTGACACTCTTGGTAAGTGAGCTAATATGCAAAGCAGAATCTACAGTTACTCCTCAGCAAGGAAGCTTTTAAGGGAAACCAGAGCTCCCACTGAAAGCAGAAAGGGAAAATAACCGAACGCAGAAAGAGGAGAGGCAGTCGCTGAGCATCACAAAAAAGTGACTGGTTGGAAAATGAAATAGCTTTCTTGGAGAACTGCTATTGAATGTTATTACCAACAGTCTTACTCTAGTTTATCTAGATGCAACACTGAATGTATATTCTGCTTTATGACAGCTTCAGAGCTACCCATCACCCTCTTTTACAGTCAAAATACCATCTGTGGAAAACATCTGTTGGACTTGCCTGATGTTGAGGCCTTGCTTGTAGATTTTACAGGCATCTGATGGTAAGATTCTGGACAGCAAAGGCACTGCAACATGAAAAGATACATTGAAAACATAAAAAAAAAACACCAGGGAAGTATCTAAACTAAGAAAGCTCAATAGAAATTCAGGAGTATATAACCTTGCAGGTTATATAACCTTGCCGGCAAATGCGGCTCACATTAAGTGAAATTTTTGTAAATACTTTATCACTATCATGTGTGCATTACATAACCTTTCCCTGTAGGTCAATAATTCACAGAGTACACAGAAGTCAGGCCTGGCTACCACTCTGGGGTCAGTCCTCTGCAGACTAAGCAAATGCTGATGCACCAGTTCTACTGGATACATTTTGTCTGTGGCCACACATTGTGTTCCAACTGCGCAGCGCATGAGCTGCTGCATTATGATATTTCACCAAGTGACCATCCAGCAAGAGACAGTTGTGTCACTCAGAGTGCCAGCTGACATCCAGCAGGAGGAGTAACGGTCAGTGTGTGGCTTCTGGTCACTGTGTGAACCCATGGGCATTTCCTGCCATGCTTACATCGGCGTATGAAAAATAAGTTACAGAGGAAAAGCAGGAACAAACTCAGCTAAGCAAAGAAGCGTTTGACTCACCCCAACTCTGAAAGTCCCAATGAAGCTCCAAGTAAAAGTCTCCAAGCTGTGGAGGAAAGCCCAACTATGAGTAAACCGACATGTAGGAAATGAGTGGCCTTGTGCCAGATCTGTCATAGAATCCTATAAAAACATCAAAGCTAGCATTTGGTGTCTGTCTCTCAACAGTATTCTCTGTCTACTTAGTACATAGTACATAAAATGATGAAAAAAAGAGTAAAGAAAAATATAATAACAGACATCTAGTATGATGAACTCGTAATTTGACTAAACAAACGACAAAACAAAGAGGAAAAAAGCTAAATATGCGCCCAAAAATTTTATTATTTTTCTTACTTCTGATAATATCTATTTAGAAGAATACAGGTAGCGCAGCCTCACCTTTTTAACCGCACAGCAAATGAGACATGTTTGTGACCCCTGACTGACACAAGTCAGAACCGCTATTATTCATGCAAACAGTGGATGCAGCTGTCACATCTAAACCGGTGGTGATGTCAAAGCTGACAGATAATCATTCCCGTTCTAGATCTTAATCATCTTTGAGACATGATGACGCAGATGAGTTTACAGCGCCTAATCATCCACCGGGTGATTTCACCACATCCTGTAAAGCAGAGCTTTTCGGGAGTCTTTCAGGTAACACGGCCCTTAAAATGATCAGAGGAGGAGTTTGTCTGTTCGGGTATTGACATTGCTTATCGAAATGAATCCTTTACTGACACGGAGGCTCAGATTTCCATGTGATTCTGCCCAAAATTTTACCTCCATATCATCATATTTACTCAGGCAGTAGCACTGCGGTTTATAAAGCAGTCTATGGAACCTGTCATATTAGGCAGAGAGACCAAACAAAGCCTGAAAAAATCCCTCCAACTCTGAGCCGTATGTCTGCTGGCAGTCAAGTGTGTTTGTGTGTGTGTGTGTAGAGATGAGAGATGAAAGAGTAGAGATGATGTCATACCAAACAGGAGCACTGAGAGGCTTCAATTAGCCTTAATGTCTTTGTCTCTGAAGAGATGATAATGTATGTGTCCCTCTAAGCTTTGTGTTTGCTATGGTGATATTTAGTAAATGATCACTTTTAACTGAGGCCTGGGAGGGCTGGTTATGTTCACAGAGCTAATACTGTGAACATAATACTCAAAGCAATGGCTGTGTATCTACTGGGTTTTAACCCATGGGAGACATTAAAAGGACGTGTTTGGGAAATAAGAACAGAACTTATTTGTGTGAACCTGTTTGAATTGAGAGACAGAAACAGAGAATGTAGATAATATTTTGAAATGGTTAAAAAGCTGCAAACTGGGGTGTAAAATGATTTTCTGACCACAGAGGAACAGGCACTTAAGATGTCAGGAGAAGTGCTGCTACTCACCTCTTTGAGGGCTTTCAATAGCTTGGGCCTCTTGTCCTCTACGCTCTCCCTGGACTGCTGCTTCAGCTTCCTGAGCAGCGCTGTGACTGAGAGAGGACGAAAGGAAAAAAACCCTGACGCAACAGCT